TGCAGGACAATCATGCTGCACAAAGATACACACAAAGACATACTGTATACAGTATACGTATATACAGTATATATATATATATGTACACATACATATTCATAGATAGAGACACAGACAGACAGGCGGATACAATTCTGGAAGGTAGCAGAGCAGATTTTTTTAATATTTACTTGTCAGACGAACACCTTAAAAAACGGACTATCCCAAAACTTGTTGCATTTGGGTTGATTGACTGAATGTATTACAGCATAACACTGAATGCACATGGGGTGGATGCTCACTTGTGCTCAAACCTTCAGAATGAATGATATTTTGCTACTTTTTTTTATGGTTTTATGTGTGTGTGCTGAGTATTAAAAAGTTATCCTGATCTGCAATAAAGGCAATGGGTATCTGATCTCTCCATACAAGCACACACTGAGCTTGGAGGAACTAAGAGTTAGCATCTAGCAGAAACTAGCTGATGCAGCAAAACAACAACATGGTTTGCAGCAGTGATGAAGAAGAACTTCCATAGAAGTAAACTCATGAATAAATGAGGTGAACTTGTAATGTTAAGGCAAGGTTTAAAAGCATACTGTTTTAATAAACACTGATTCTTATTACATCTAAAGAAAGAGTCGTTTTAGGGCATGTTTACATTTTGCTTGTAGCGAGAGAGATTTAATTTAAAGAGTACTCTACAAGCACAGTGAGCAATGCAGCTTTGAAACATTTCATAAAGTTTTTAAGTACTTTCTCTCACAGTTTGCTCCAATCCAGACACATTTCTCTGTATCCCACTTTCCCAAATACCCAAGGGGACACAGGCAATATCCTGCTGCAGTTATTAAACTTTGACTTTGGGGGTAAGATCCAGTCCCGACTAATAGGACTACTCGGAAATCATTGCAGAGATTTGTATGCGATAATGAGAAATAGAGTTGCAGTCCCAATTCATTCAGCCCTCTCACCTCTGGGTGTAACTTGTAATTACTCCCGTGGAGCTTTGGGGAGGTTGGCAGATTAAAAAGGAGTCGCCCTGAGGCTGAAAAGCCAGCCAGTTAGTGAGCGGGGCAGCCATCGAGCCTCTCCGACTCCCAAATCGACATTCATGAGAGTGCACCTCTCAAGGTGACACCTGACTGGACACATTCTCGGGTCTTGTGCTCAACATCGATGAATAAATGAGTACCAACAGGATGTAACACCCAACAGTGTTTCCTCTGTGCGTTAATCAGTGCAAAGATATATTTTTATTTCTTAAAAGAGAGACAGCCAATGAAACAGTAGTGATATATATTACTCATTCTACAAATAGAAATCAACCGAGAAATAGCAGATACAAATCAAAACAATACTATACCCAAACAGCAGTCCTGTGCCTACAGATTCTGCATTTTTATGGTTCTTTTTGGTGCTTCTTATGCCTTTATTGGAGAGATAGGACAGTGGATGGAGCCGGAAATCCGTGAGAGAGAGAGCGGGGAATGACGCGCTGGAAAGGAGCCACGGGCCGGATTTTGAACCTGGGCCGCCAGTTTGGAGGACTACAGCTTATGCACATTGGGGCGTGCGCACCAACCACTGCCCCACCAGTGCTAAGATATCTTCATGAAAAGGAGTTCTACTGCCATTCTGAAGTGCTTTTACTTTAAATGTTTCATTTCATTTGGCTTGCACTGATATTTCATGAAATTACACTGTTTCTTGTACACCATGACATTTTTTTTTTAGTTGGTTTCTTTGCAGATAATGACCGGACCTTAACATGATGACACTAATAAAACAGGACACAGTGTTGTTAAAGAATAAACCACCCAGGAGTGTATAAAAACCATAAAGATGGTCTCAATTCCTTCTAGTAACAACATTTAAAAGACTGATAATAATGCAACAAAATGATATCAGTAAAAGAGGCCAAAGAATACTTTTCCTTCGAGTGCATTGGGAATTCATGTAATGGTGGACTGCTCTTGGAAAGAAGAGGCTATATGGTCTGCTATTGCTATGTCTACTAAAAGGTCTACAAATCATTTTTCCTAAGCAGAAATTGTGTAACATTTGTATCAGATGAACTGATCAAAAAAATACTGACAGAGCAAATTTAGGAATCCCAATAACACCCTCAATCTTCTAAGACTTCCTGTGTGTGTTGTGCTCTCTGTGCAGGATGGGGGGGGGGTGGGTTCAATTGTGTAGCTGCCCACCGGCTCTGTCCCACTATAATTCAAGCCCCTGTCAGACGTTCACTGCAGCAATTACTTGTGCTGAACAGCTTTCAATCAGGCGTTAATTCACGCCTCCAGCCTGGGATCAATGAATGCAACACACTGAAATGACACACGAATAATCACCTGGACTGGTCAATAAGCTACAGGGCAGTGAAGCTAGCTGATAAGAGTTAATGGGATTGTTTATGCTAGGCTAGTGCACCCCCTAGTGGCAAACAAAGGTTATTGCGCTGTGATGGGTCTTCATGTAAAATGTAAAAGGTAGAAAGGTATTCAAGCACTTCAATGCAACAAGATACATTCTCAGGGATAACAAAAATATCGTCCGTGTGTTTGAAATGTGTGTGCTGAAATGAGGAGCTCAGTGTAGCTAAAGCTGGGAGGGAAATAAAGAGCTGAGGGATTAGAGGTGGGTTTTAAGAAGAGGGCCAGGAGTGATTCACAGGAGCTGGCAGAGTGAGTAATGGCAGCAGAGATGTGCACCGGGGCTTTTATGAGGTACTTACTCCCCCCTCCTCCTGCAGCACTAAAAGCTATAGATCATGTATTTCAGCAGTGCTACTAGGCGTACTGCCGCTGCTGCTTGACGAATTGGTCCACACCATTAATTACATGATTTAAATACAATTAAGGTGGCAGGGAGGGAAGATGTAACATAGATGTTTTGGTAAGATTTGTTTCTGCTCAGCTGACTCTTTCATACTTCATAAGTCTTCATCGATAAATGAGTTTCCTCTTTAAATGTATGAAGGCAGGAATTTGTTCAAAGCTCAGGGTCTTACTTCTACAATACTGCATCAAAACATTCTGTGTTGGACGCACACTATTTTTAAATACTGATGGCTGTTGCTACAGGTGAGAAAATGTGTGTATACCAGGGTGTCAGATAGCCAAGGGACTATGATGGCCGCCCAATGAACAGATGTGTTAGTCCTCGCATCTCGTGGATAGGGCTCAAGTCTGACCTTTTGCACTTCACCGCATGTCATTCCCCATTTTCTTATCTCTGTGACCAACTCTATCCACTCCTGTCAATAAAGGCATTAAAGCCCCAAAAACGAGGACATGCATACAACACATAGCCTGTATTTAGTCTATGATAAGTAATGATGGACTATATTAGGAATGGGTATCACTTTTTATATGATAGTCCAAAAATGTGATTGAGAGAAGACAGATGGAGGCTTTTTCAACATTGCCTTCATAAGCCAAGTCTGGCATGGAACTAGAAATATGGACTTTTCCCATTAATTTCTGATTAAAAAAGAGCTGCCAACATAAACTCAACCTGGCATCAAACATGACGTCCAAAAGCCAAAGCTGTTAAAGGCGTGGGTTGGTATAATATTAATATAAAAGTATGGGATGAAGCAATATATTTATACATAAAGATCTTTTTGTTGGAGCAGGAATTACTCAGACTTTGAAAAGAGATCTATAATGACCCTTCTGGCTTTTCCAAGGACAACTGTAGTGATGTCATCGATTGATGACAGCTTGGGTTTGTAAACTAAGGGGGGCCATGGAGTTTGGTAGACAAGGCTTTTACCATAATTGGGAGGCTAGGTACAACAGGCTATTGAGCTGTATTATGGGATACAGACACAATATAAAATAAGGGAATAAATAACAGGATATCTCAGCTTTACCACCATTAGGTTTGAAAATGACTTTCTAATAGTATGACTTCTGCTGGTCCCTTGACTGCAGTGTTTCTGTGTTTCATCCTGGCCGAAAGATTTTGGTCAATGTAATACACTTAGGCTGTACTCTTCACTGATTGGTTACGACAACTTATTTTTACAGTCTATGGTTACAACAACTTTGAACTCAGCCACTGGGCAAAATGTGATTGCCAATTGTCTTTTTTCACTGTAGGAGGGTGGGGTTTGTCATTTTTAGGATTTAAAAGACATGTTTTGATTTGTCAAAGAATGCTATTCCCAAAATGTACTTTCAAAGAGGGAACATCAACATTATTTCTTCAAGGGAAAGATTTCACCAGCATTCACTTGTAGAGGTTTTCATCACCAGTACCAGGGGAAAGGATTTGCACAACTTTAAGTCGTATGTTTATTTCTGTTTTAGATGTACAGAGTTATCAATGGAAGGTTATCAAAAATGTGTTTTTTCCACTTTGAAACAATGAGATCAGACCCTGAAAACAAGTCAGAAGTGTAAAACATGCAGATAAAATGTTACTTTTATGTTCAGTGTAAGATATCAAATAGACAGAGAAAGCTCAAATTATACAAAAAAGACACAAGTAGTCAAAGTGAAATGTGACCTGCACTTACTATTCCTCCTGTAACTTTTTATCAACTCTCCCATAAAGTACAAACACAAAACTGAGATTTAATTAACTCCAACCAAGTGAATGTAAAAAACACTGTACTTCATTGATCTTCAGTGTGACCCTGGGTAGCTACAATAATATGCAAGTCTATATAAACACTGATGTGCTGACTGAGGTGAGAGGTTAACAGCAAAAGGCACTAATTCAAAAACGAACGTTTAATTTTCATGGTGTTTGTGACTCAATTTAACACCTTTGACTTTCATAGAGCGGTGAGATCAGTGTGATGTGAGCATCGTGTAGGCATAGAGAGGCTGAGCACAACACAGACAATTACATAAAGACTCCGTAAACAGATTATTGTTCATGAGAAAATCAATGCGCGTAAAAGACAAAAATCAATGAAAAACACTCTTCAAAATAAAAGCACTACTTCTAGTTCCATTTTTTATGGAATTGTTTAAAGTGGTTGTTCAAAATAAAGGACACCATTTGTTTGACACATCTTTTTATTAAAACATAAAACATCCAAAGTGTTAAGAGGAATACAAGCACAATAACAGTGAGGCAACTGGAACGTTTCATTGTGAACTCAACAGTGCTCTGCGAGATAAGGTTGTCGGTGCATTGTAACATTGTGAATTATATAAAATTCAAAATATAAAAAGAATCAAATACATCTCGATTGTGATGGTGCTAAGTGACCAGCGAGGAAGCCAAAAGGGTCGGTCAGTGAGAGAGAAATGACACAAACCAAACACTAGAAGTACACACTGCTGCTGCGGACATTGAAGACATTTGGCCCTGTGTTTAACAGTGTACACATCATTATAGTGACCACCCCAACGTATACAAAAAGCAGAACACATAATCACTGTGTGAAGTGGAGATAACAGCCGGGAGTATTTTTAAAAAACATCCCATGTTTGTGAGACATATCAGCTTTATAGACATCGAGATATAATAGTGAGGAATCACACGTTTTGCTTTTTACAATGCAGAAGCTGGTTTACTGAATTAGACCCCCAATTCCCCTAAACATAAATTATGATACTTTAAAAGCTTATTTTTTTTAAAACATGAGATCTTCAAGTACACTTCCAAAAACGTTGGAAAATGTATTCCTGGTAGTTTTGGTTTATATTCCAATGTAAGACAAGTCTGACTCAACAGCTGAAATATTATATTTGGATTTAGTTTTTTTATATACTCTCTCTGATTACTCCCTTCGGTTTCAGATAAAATAAAATGCTGTAAGTTGACTAATACTGGTATTTATACATCTTGAAATGAGAGACAAAACAACTGAGCGACAGACTGCGACGCCCAAAAGTCCTTACAGAGACGGAAGCATTAGATACATGAATGTTTGATTTAAAGCATTGTAAGAATAAAGGTTTATTGATGTTAAAGGGTGGAGTTAACGTTGTTTTATCCACAGATGTAATTATTCTTTTTGAGCGTCATCCTTTTTAAACTGTGGCTGTCATCAGTTGTGCAACGTGTTATGTATCCGTTCAAAGTCAAAACCCATGAGAGGGTCAGTCACTACAGTCAGACTGCATAATCACTGCAGGGCTCATAAATAACTCTGTTTAATTCATTTATAACAATTTAATAACCTGCAGGACGAGCTGTTGCTTGCCTCGCACTGATTAGTGATAATGACTCGTCAGCATGTGTGCAGTCACATTAGTGTTGAAGCATGTGAGACGTGCGAGTGTCTTCATTGACTGAGGTTATGAAAATACAGTCGTAGCTGGGGCTGCGTTGGGAGTTGTTTGTGGTTTTTTTGGCAAACAGAAGCTTGAAAACATTCTGCTGTAGGATTGTTTACCTCTCGTTGTCACCTTCAGCTCGACGTGTCACCATCCGAAGATGCATCAGAACACAACGCAAAACATCAAAATGTTAACATTGTTAACAAACAGTAATCATATTACAACTTTTGAAAAGAATAAACTCTGGAATCCTTCTCCTGTACAACGACGGGCGATTGGTTGATCCCCCTCCCCCCAGTTGATTTTGGCAGTGGTTTAACACTTGTGCTTCATGGCAAGCTGTAGAAAAATGAGGGTGGGGGTTGAGGAATGATATAGTGAGTATTTAAAGCCACCTATCAGCATCATGCTTTCCAGCTACCTCACTGTAGCTGTAACTGTAGGTCTAACATCAAATATGAGTGAGTAAAAATGAGGATACATAACTGAAACCCAGTCATTTATTCATCTCCAAAGGATATTTGTAAAACCTGTTGAGCTATAAAGCTAAAAACCTGTTGCACAGTATGGGAGCAGTGGTTCTCAACTGGTGGGTCAGGACCCAAAAGTGGGTTGTGGAGCCGTTTTCAGTGGGTCGCAAATGTTCGCCTGGAAGAAAAATGATGTCAAAAAGTCTACAAAACACTTTTTGTTTCATTCAGTTACTTTGTTCTAGCATGCTGTGTCCCCTCTGAGGTCCAAACTGCACCGTTTCTCTTTAAATAAATCTGACTGAATGAATAATATGAGAAATTTGGGCTCCGATTTTTCATGAAGGAGTACTTGGTCCTGAGGCTGGACCAGTTGAGAACCACTGGTATAGAGGACATCCTGGCCTTACCAATTAGCTATCGTTTGTGTGAGTTTGTGTCATTTACAACAGGCGTTTTGCATTTTCACAACGGCTGCCATCTCGTCAGAAACATTTCATGACAGCAAGAAAAAGAGACGTATAGATATTTCTGAAGCATCATTGATATTCGAGACAGAACATTTCAACTTACTATTAAAGCAGTTTTCAATTGATATGCACCGAATTTGAACAACCTAACACTGCTTTTTTATATCCTCCATGATGGAAATCAGTAGATAATATGATTTTATATGAAAATCATGGTGTCACAGGGGTCAGGAATTTGATTAAGGCAGAGAACATTTTGCAAAGGATTGTGGATTGAGCTTTGTGTCGATTGGGAAATAGAGAAACTGTTTTTATAGTAGGCTTTTTTAAATCATTGCTAAGGCTGGTTGGATTTCAGAGTGAGTATGATTATGTTTGATACCATCTTTGGAAAGTCTAAAACTTTGGCCACAAAAGTCTGGACCAACTGACACAAGTTAGTGTGGAAAAACACTATTGTGAAACATTTTCAAGAACTCTATTTATTCTTCTTATCAAAGTGAGTTCAGTTAGGGTAATTCCTTTTCCAGGAAAGGAACACGCCTTTCTGTTTATGTTGATATACAGTTTATCTGCTCAGCTCTACTGAAACTGCCAGGAGTAAGAAAGTGTCAGAGTACTGCTGGAAAGGTTCCCATCTTTAAAATAAACTCACTCTACTTTAAATTAGTTTCCACAGTTGTTTTAGTTTGTGCTGATGTTGCAGGAAGGTTTTGGTCTGATGCAGAACCAGAAACAAGAAAAAGGAGACTGAATTAAAACGCAACGTCATGTTGTCTTCTATCAAAGCTGATCCACAAAATATATTGTTGATGATTAATTGTTAACCATGACATGTTTTTCATCTCAAAGACATCTCAGAGACTTGACTCATCTCAAGAAAATACTGAAATTCTTTCTGGATTTGACTATTTAAAAATGTTCAACAAAGAAAAAGGCTGCTGGAAGGCATTTATTAGACCTGGTGTTTCAGGGTTCTAAAGGGCTCAGAAGGATTGTGAAAGAGAGATGACCGAGGCTCCCAATCTGACAGACAGCTATGGGACATGGCGGCATATGTATGGAAGAAACACATTTACACAGCATGAACACACACTCACACACAGAAGCAACAGAGTGAGTATGAAGTCGGTCGCATTAAAAAGAGGAAAACTGAATTCTGCAAAGTGAACAAGTGGGGGCAGTAGAGCAGCACACAGAGATGAGCGGTCTCCATTAAACCTGAGCAGTGCAGCTCCAGCTGTCAGAAAGTGAAGCACAGAAAGTGGATTGTAGAAGCAAAGTGAAAGGAAGGGTCGAGGTGACCCTGCCGCGGCACAGCAGATGATTAGCACTGCACTTGACTATAATTTGAATCATTCAGAGGTCGGCCTTTCAACTCATGCGGATGACATGAAAAGTCAAATAATCCTTTTAAGTCATCCTCGGATTCAAATATAACGAGTAAAGTGCAGACAGTCTTGTCCATTCCTAACATGAACGACTTCTTTCTCCATCATGGAGGCTACAAACTCCCTTTAAGAGAGCTCTTTAAACATGCAACATGATGAGTCTTGATAATAATGAGTAAGATGAATGATTCGTTAAAAGAAGCTAATGGCAGTAAGTGAAATGGAGACACTGGCAGATGAGTGATTCTTCATGGGGGTTCTACACTCGTTCTCATCGCTACCTCCGGACCGAGGCTTTTTTTCTGCACTTATAACAGTTTTTGTAATTCATCACAGCGGGGAAGCTCATCTGTGAGCAGCAAGAGGGGCTGTTCAAGGTTCTTATAATGCCTTTCATTCGAACCACCATCACTAGTACTGCAATATGTATAAAAACAGTCATTTTAATGGAGAGTGATACGGCTGCGGTGTTGAAGTCATTCACATCACGCTTTGAGATGGCTCGTGTCTTTTAGTGAGCTCACAGCATGACAGAGGAAGCCAAGCTGAAAACACAGGCGTGTCTGAGATACTGTGTCACATTATTACTGTAGGTGCACTCGTTACAAAGCAGAGAGATTTTCTTGTGTTTTGCAGTTTAAAAAAAAAAAAAAAAAAAAAGATATTATGTTAATAGCCTCATTACACAGCATGCAATTAGTTTTCTTGAAAAACAAGAGATATGAGAAACATGGAGGATGAGGGAACACCCAATAGAGGAGCACAAAAGAAGAGAGAGTAAATGAGGGAGGGAGAAGAAGAAGAAGAAAAAAAAAAAAGTGATTATCTTCTGAGAGCAGCAAGCAGCACAGCTGAGAGGCTCGAGTCGGAGTAAAGCGACTCGTACGACATCCTCAGGTTTAAGTAAGATGTTTGATCTCACGGCTGAACTAACAACGACTTTTAAAATCCTGACGAGGTATTCTGCTCTGTATAAAAAATGCACACAGTAAGCCCACCCTGAGGATCTCCCTTGTGATGTATCTTGCTAACATATTGCCTCACCTTCTGCGCAGTGACAGAGAACTGTTCAGCGCTGTTCATCATGTCCGCGGTCCTCTCTTCGGCCCGGCCTAATCGCTCCCCGCGCTCATTCAGAGCCTGGCTGGCCTTCTGTACGGCGCTTGTCACGCTGTCTGCAGCTGAGTGTAGTATACTGTTACCTGTAGATAAAAGGTGGAGGGGGGGAGGGGGGAGGGGGGGGGGCACAGCAAAGAGAAGAGAAACAAAGTAGGACACAAAGAGAAAGGAAAAGACAAAAGAGAAAGACATTATTATTATTCCTTTGTGAATAAGGAGACTAGCTGGTTCAATCAGTGACTCTCAGCATTTGTGCTAACAGTCGGAGACAACATGATGTAAATGGCATCCATCAGGTGCAACGTGGGAAGGCGGCTAATGAGATTTCTTCAGCGCAGATTTATGTCAAGTAAAGATCAAGTGAAATTAACCTTTTCAAACATCAAAGTGAGCAACAGCAAGACATGCAGCACCAGATTTATTGTCTCTTTTGAAGACAGTATCACCCCCTGCAAACATTCAGCGCTGCTTTTCTTCAGTTTTGAACTTGTGATGCCAGCCCTGCGATTACCCCTCACTTTTGCTAAACTATAGTGTAATAGAGAGAGGATATATGCTTCTGGAGGCCCAGTGGTGGATATAAGACAGAGAACACATCTTCTGATAGCCGTGGCAGCCCTGCGGATGTTTCCACTGACAAGCCATTAATCTACTGCACGTCGGGAGCGCTGCCGTTATGTCCTACACTAGCCAGCAGACTGAGAACAGCAATCTTCCTGCTGCTATCTCTTTATTGGCAATTCAGTTGCATTGTTCCAGTTGGGTGCATTTTTATGTTGATGAATTTGTCAGCACATTAGTTTAGGAAAAAAAAAAATCAGAAATGTTCTAAGAGTTGCTGCTCTCTGACCATGTGACCTGTTACCCCTGGAGACTTTCTGTTTGCTGTGTACAAAGTTGAGTTTAATTACAGAAAACAACGAAGCTGCAGGGGTTAGCGATTATTATTGATTTGGTGGTGTTGCTTATTATACTAAATAATGCAGAGTTACACTCTCTACTCCTGTACCTGACTTTGAGATGAGGACAACACACACTGAGAAGATTCGATTTTTTCCAAGGTCTATATCCTCAAATATACAGTAAATAAGTTATCGGGGGAAGGAAGAAGTCTGAGCAAAGCTTGAAGGAACTGAGTGTATAAAGATTTGACAAGTCTGATTCTATCGGCTCCCAAAAGAAACTACAATACAGGGAGTGTGTGTCCCGCTGCATCCAGGCAGGTAGGGCTGACTGACAGGTAATTGGGATGGCTCCCCTGCAGTTGACAGCACAAAAGCAGACGGCGAGGCCAGCTGGTGTTCCTTCAAAAAAAAAAAAAGTAACTTGACAAAGTCAAAGCGGTTTGAGTGTAAAGACAGCCGTGCTGCAGCAGACAGAGTGAGTAAAGGTGTTCATGTATTCATATCTACACACACAAAAGGAAATGAAAACACCATGCCCAAACACAAGGCTGTGAAACAGTCAGGGAATTCAAGTAATGTAACAGACTGCAGGCCACACTGTACACTGCAAACACACCTGTATCAACAGCAGTGGTTCCCACACATAGACAATACCTGGGCGAGCTGCCCAAGTATTTTGCAATCGCTCAAGTATACTTGCAAACTTTTTTTTTATTATCCGTATAAGGATGCCATCCGAGCCTTGCATCTGATAACCTGGAACATCTGACACACACTCTGCAGGTGATCAGAGAGAGAGAGAGAGAGAGAGAGAGAGAGAGAGAGAGAGAGAGAGAGAGAGAGAGAGAGAGAGAGAGAGAGAGAGAGAGAGAGAGACAGCTTCCCGAACGTCCCTCCTGTCAATGCATCTCATTTATAATATGAACTTTATCATACTGCTATTTTAATCATTTGTGCAGGTGTTTGCTGTCAATTGCATTCTGCCCTCTCAGTTTAGGATCGTTTCTATATACTACATAAGCCTCGTCCACACATGTATCACCCGTTGTGATTACCGAACAAGAAGTGAAACATTTCAAAAACATAATGCAGAGGAGAGGCCAAATCTCAAAAGATCACAATAACCCAAATATATTGCCTGACCTACTAGATAACCAAACTAATGTTAATTTGATTTGGTTATCTATCGAAGTTATCTGCCTTTTATGGACATCACAGCAGGAGGAGAGAGTTTAGGATGACGTGCAGCAAAGGGCAAAGGTCAGATTCAAACCCAAGACGCTGCAATGAGGACTATAGCATCTTTCCAAGGGGCGTGCAAAATAAACGCTAGGCCATCATTCACCCCTATTTTACAGTTTTTAATAGCCGCCCCTCGCCACCACAAGTACCGCTTCATACTGTAGGAAACACTGAGCAGTGAAATAGGCTTCATACCTGACAGAATCCCTTCTTTATTTTATCAAAAGTCTAAGTAATACAATCAGTCCACAGTCCAAAGCTGCAGTGAGGATGCAGTATTCACCTCCTCAACTCAAAACTGTATAGCCACAAGGAAAGACAAGTTCAAGTCTGATGAATTCACTCTACATCGGCTCAACGCATCCCTGCTCTGCCTCTGTTAGTATGAAAGTGTCCTTTCTCTAAAAAATCTAAGACCCTCTTTATAAAGATTCTTCTTAATCCGCTCCTCCTGTGCAGCCCCGGTGAGTAATACTTCAATCATCAACCAACACACTGTACACGCAGCAAACATCTCCCTTTGTTTGTCTGCACACCCTTTCCCCTTTCTTTGGTGCTTTCCTTCCCTCCATTCTCCTTGATCAGCAGCAGGCTGCGGCGTGGGCTCCCCCAGTGGAGAATGTAATTACAGAGAAAGGCAGGGTGGAGGGAGCCTGCAGCGTCAGGAACTGAATGAAACGTGTAGGAGTAGATTATGTTTTGTGGTGCCAAACGCTGTGATCCCAGCTCTTAATCTTGGTGAGCAGATCAGCCATCACTGTTATCATTTGGGATAAGAGCGGGTATTTTATGTCGCTGAGGAAGCTCACTGGTATTAATTACTGTCAGCATTTTAATGAGGTACAAGACACTGAAAGATCTAAAAGAGGAGCTTATGTCTGATTGCGTCTTCTGACATGTTTGACTGAGAATAACCCACAGAAAGAGGACAAACCTTGTCCATCCCTGACACGCCTCTCTCAACAATGCAGGAGGAATTTTGTTGCAGTACCCCCTGATATCACTACAAGACAGGGTTTGTTTAACAATGAAGAAAGAACAAAAGGCAAGTTGTTTTCTGGCTCCAAAATACTGCAGAAAGCAGGAACTTTGAGCAAAAACAAACATAACAAAGGAAGAGGGAAAGTTCATTGAAAGTCGACTTCTTCTCTCCCTGGTCTGCAGTAAGCAGTAGATTAGAGGCTGGGCTGCTGAAAACAATCTGATGGTTATCAACAGGAACATGTCGGATACACTTCACAGAATCCTGACAGCCAAGCCACATCTGCTCTCAGAGCATATGGAATTGATTAGATAGGATAATTCAATTCAAGAACCTACACAGCGACGCACAAAAATGCATTCAATCAGTACATGCTACAGTGCCTTTAGCATTTCCACTCTGATGTTATCACCGCGCTAACCCCCAATTTCCACAATGTCCGTTAGCGCCACGGTTTTGCCCCGCTGGAACCGTTACAGGAACGTGAGCGCAGCCAATGAGCGGCTGCACACACATCACAGGAGAACTACGAGATCACGCTGGAATAAAAGGGAAAAACATGCAAACAACATTTTGTTTTGTCTTTCTGAGGATGATATGTTGTTTGTTTGGTGCCTGTTTTGACGTAATGTTGATAAAATGATGGAAAAATACAATTGTGAGTCCGTATAGGGTGTTTTATTTTGAAATTGAACGGACGCCTCTTGTGCTTTTCCCTGTCTGACTTCCTGTCCGGGTTGTTATATTCTGTCTGCAGCATACTCGGTTGAAAACTCTTTGAAACGGATCAGGCTAGTGGAAACGCTCGCTGTGGAAACACAATCATTGACTAGACTGGCGGAGAATGTAGTGTAGTGTCCAGCGCTGAGGGAGTAGCGTGGAAATTGGGGGTTATGCTGTGAGGTATAATGTGTGTGTGGGTGTTTGAAGGGAGAGTGTCTTAGACTACTTTCTGTAAAGTATCAAGAGAGCACATACTTGTCTGCTCTTCAACAAGTACCATCAGAAAGTCTCCTGATTACCCTGAGGGGCTTTAGGGCGACTGTTACTCATCTAGAGAAACACATGAATCACTTTATCGAGGGTTTTCTGTAAATGATCCCCAGCCTACTCACGGCTTAACCTGCATTACCACAGCCTCTTGACTCCTGAGTACCCAGTAATTGCTGTTATTTTCAAGCGTCTTTCCACAGTGTCTGCAATAAAGGAGGCTGACAATGTGAAAACACACAGTTGCTTGTTTTACAGCAGATTTAAGAACTTTTCACAAAATGGACAAACAACATCAGATATTCCTACTGTTGACAAGTATGCTGCTGTGTGTTACTGCTACTAGAAGTGATCACAAACACAGGCACCCAGTAAAGTAGATAAAGAGGTGTGTGATGAATACCACCTCTGCTTTACACAACTTACTTATCACGACTGGATTATAATGTCGAATTCCAACCCAGCTACAACTATAAAGATGTTTTGGAGTGTGTAGTGATAAATCATCTTTTTTATTCATTTAAAGTAATCAAATGGATGTCCACTCTAGCACTTTCTGAGAATCTGAGGTATAAAGCTCTGAAGTATGATAAAGGGTTACACAGTAAATCATCATGATGGCATGAAGGCCAAGGCGGAAACAAGTCTTTCAATAATTCAAAACATTCCTCCTTTAATCCTTCTCTGCTCTAAGATTGTGTTGAGATGTCTTTCACCAAGGTCAAAGCAGGAGGAGGGGATCAAAACAAAAAATTCAAGCTTCTCTGCAGAGTCGCTTTCCGATGCACAGAGACCTTTAGGAGGCCAGTTTTCAATCAATAAAGCCGAGACTTCAAGAACCATTCTGAGATCACAGAGATACTCAGCAAGAGATGATTCATGTAAATCGAACTCATAGGGGACTGAAGAAACAGCTTTACAGCTCCTACTACAAGATAGACCCCTGCCCCCCCCTCCCTCGGTTTAATAAATGCAAATCTTGACATTATCCGCAGCAGCATCCTGAAACTATAGAAGCAGTTCAACCAGAAAGGACGACTCCCGCCGGCACTTATGACACACGTCTATTATCTCTCAATAGCCTTTTATCCCATCACTTCTCTTCTGTGCTCTTCATTCCCCCTTTCTCCCGTTCAATGGTCGCTCCCTGACCTCCTGTGCGGTGTAGATCTCATTTTCTGTCTGTGCTTTCCAAATAATTAAGCAATCTGTACATTGCCCTCATTTCCTTCCCACCCCTTCCTATTGAAATATATACTGTGTATTCACTCTACTGTTATATTATTGTCTTTAAAGAACTTATCCTGTCCCAAACACCACAAGCATACAGGACCATGACCCAAACTAATGACTAGTTTTAAGTCTGTATTATGTTGTCATTCCATCCTGGTTTTAGTTACCTTATTATCAATATATGTATCCTTTTAGCTTTGTAGTGAGCTGAATGTGAATCTCAAAGACAACTTCAATTCTAAGGTTGGAGAGAAGCTGAGACATCACTTCATCGCTGCATATTTTCTCATGTTGGAAAAGGGTTTGACCTTGGTGGCTCAGTTTGGCCTGCAGTTCAGTCCAAGTATCTGTTGTAGCTTTTTTTAACCAGCTTGATAAGAGACACCAATGAGGACAACGTGGACGTTCTGTACTGAATGTACCACAGAGCAGAGTTAACGCAGACAGAAAAATAAATATTCAGGAACAGCGTCTTCTCAGGCGGCTTAATCAGCAGATAAACGTCAGCATCACACTATGAATTAAACAGACATTATTTTGTCAGTTATAGTCCTGATTAAGCTTAAATGACCACTTTGGAAAACTACACGGAAGCTCAGAATACTGAAGATATCTTCTTGGAAAAAAAGCTCTCTACCGTTGTACTGCCCTTGTTCATCAAAATGTGATTTAAATGGTAAATGGACTTGAGCTTGTATAGCGCTTTTCTAGTCTTCTGACTACTCAAAAGTGTGTGTGTAAATATTAACTAATGATTCACGGATATGACAACCAAGTCAAATATAAGTCCATGAGAGCCAGTAGCAGAGTCCTCATGTCAGAAATTAGAGAAAAGGCTTCATTCAAAACCCTTTTTCTGTCAAACTTTTTAGAAGGCCACAGTTACCAAAGTCAGAATTTCCTTATGCATCTTCTAAATAGAGCTGCGTTACATGTAGTTCATATGCAGTAGAGGTTTTTTACATTTATTTCATTTTTGCTTATAGTTCTGAACGACTGATTTCTAGACGAACAAATGCAAGACATGCAAGAGTTTGAAGCATGTCTGAAAGATTCTGTGGTATTTCATTAAACCTCAATATGACTGTGACTCTTCACCTGTTAGTACGGAGAATATTTGACTACCTTAGCCCGAGGAAACTTTATAAACCAGCTTGATTTCTTTAGGAGCTCAACACCTTTTTTAGTAACAACTTTTCTAAATTGAGTCCAGGTATTTCTGTGTACTATATTACTGGCTTACCTTGTCTTAGTAGATGAGTGTGGTGTGCAACAAATTCTTTCCTCTTTTTGTTCAAATAGACCCTGCAGCGCAAAAAGACTGAATCTACACCTTGGTCTTCTGTGATGAGAAAATATCAAAAGGTCATTATCAGCATTGATCATCAAAACATGGCATAATTTAAGAAATGTTGAAGAGGGGGTTAAGCTTTTTGGATTCTTACATCATGACTCATGTATTATGGTTTGAGTTGTTGGTTATTTTCATGCATAAATTGATGAAAGTGGTTATTGACTTATTATTGGACATTTTATTTAAATGTAATTGTTAATTTGAGTTAAGAAACTTTAACTTGGTTGCCATATTAATGAAAATGTTTGTTAAATTAGTTCATATTTAAACTGTTTTACACTTGACAGATGTCTTGATTGTAACCTTCTAGAAGAATGAAAATCATTTAACATTACAGAGACAGTTTGTCCCCTAATGCTGACGATTAAAAAGCATCCACTTTTTTTTTTTTTTTTTTTTTTTTTTAGCTGAGAAACAACTCACGGCTAGATGCCAGTGAGGCAGAAAAGCTCAGGTGAGAATTGGGGCAGAGTGGTGTAAACAGTGTGGCCAGCAGCCCAAATCGACACTGAGGCAATTAGAAAATTAGCTGTTTTATTTCCTGACCAATTATATGCAACATTAGGGCTCGCAAACATTCGCTGTGCATCTACTTCCTGTTCTCTGAAGGGAGTCTAAAACTCTGCGGTATCACCTCACTGTGGTTTCATCTGAAACACTCTTAACAGGCAACATTAATGTATTTGGCACAACCAAAGAGAGCCTGGGTGTGGACATGGAGATAGACACAAGCATACGGAAATAAATCATCTAAGATACTAAAACGTTTAAAGGATCTAAATTCAATCTGACGTTCAATTTGAAACCGTTCTGCATCATGGCCTCAGCTCCTTAAATGCAATGCATTGAATAAGCTGGCACCTGTCTGCAGTCTATTACCATGTGGGACTTAAGACTGACAGGACCTCTTGTAGTAACGTGATAAGCCTGGGGAAACAGAGCAAGATTAAGCTCAAGCAAGAAAGCTGCTGGCATCCACACACCACTGATGACATCGTTATGACAGCTCTAGTACTCACACGGGGAAACAAACAACAACCCCAGAGATTTATGAGTTACACTCCTGTCCTGTTTTGTTCATTCAGTTTATGATCCATATCAAACATACAGTACTCTCTTGGTAACTTAATTATTGTACTGACGGTTTATCAGCAGAATTATGTGCATAACTTTCTACCTTCAGGGTTTGTCTGTTGGCTGCCATCCCAGAGGATTCTGCAGGTTAAGTCTCCCACAGTTATGGTCCCACACCTGAGCAGCGTCATGATTTTTGTTTTGCACTGGTGTGAGACTTAAACTGGAGTCGACAGAGTTGGCAGCAGGCTGGCATCCTATCTGTTCTTCCTGTTACGATGTGCTTGGAAAACTGTCAGCTTTTCCATCCATCAAACACAGTATCCACCCCTCACTGAGAGCCTGGAGTCTGTTATCAAATCACTACACACAATACATCCAGGGATCCACAATCCACAGGTTTGGATGTGTATGAGTGAATTTCTTATTCCCAACAAAGACATCTAGGTTGGTTCAATGAATCGTATAATTGTCCATCAGTTAATTGGATTTTGTGCAATTAAAAAAAAATGTAAGTGTAATTTCCAGTTCCATTTAAGGCAGTATTTGCTGATATGCAACCTTGTCACTGCATTATCCATCCTACTCTTAAGATCTCTGGGTTCAGAGCTCGACAGAGCTTTACTACCTTCCCTCCTACACAAGAGAAGATGGTCTGCACCAGGGTCAGTTTAACTGAGTTAAATATGGAAATGGTTGTCAGAGTAGGAGGAAGGTCAAGGCAACCTTACAGAAATTTCAAGAGAATGAACATCTGTATTATTAATGAGAAGAAAGTGAGTTTCATACATAAAGAGAAAGAAGACAAATTGAACATTGAAAGTTACTAAAGTCTTCACTGTCTTTTATGTTGAATACTTTTAGGAGCAATTTTTTCACAATGAGATGCCACAAAATCTGCGATTAAAAGTGTGTGTTACCAGTTTACAGACTGAGTGATGCTCTATGTCTGATACACATACAGATACGGATGAAGACGTTTGTCTTTACTCTGCCCTAATTTGGTCTGTGTTTCTGCAAGTTTTCTGAAAGCTTACGGATACCTATGAAGCAGTGAAGCCAACCGTTCAAGCACGACCAGCAAAACACAGCGAGGAAGAATACTTTGGAAAATGGCAGAACTTCAGAGGAAAGTTTGTGCAAGTTGGTTAGGAACTACAAAAAGGGACGGACGACTACAACAGAACAGCTGGGTGGAGATCAGACTGGAACTGAATGTCAGTCGGAGGGCAGTGAAGGAATAGTGAAGGTCCCTGCAAGACTGCACGCCCTGAAACGTTCATCCAAACGTAAAGGACATGTGGGAGTATAGATTGGTCATGACATTCATTAATTTAAAACACATGTATCTATGTTCATATTTAAAGGAAGCATAAATTAACCTAATACTTTATTTAAAGTGAAATATCCATAATCATCCAAAGTACACTAATTCAGTGTTTTTTGAAAATATCAATCATAGGTTATTGCTGTAGGAGACATATTTAGGGATGTTTTTCCATAGATAATGCCATGAATAATACAACAGGTTAAATTGTTCTCAAAGATGTGGCTTGCAGAGATAAACAGATCAATATCTGATTAAGCTGCTGAGGTTGCTGCTTTGGTTACTGGCAAGAGAAACCACAACCAAAAGCTTTCCCTTCTCAAATAACAAACACAATGTGTAGCCAGGAAGTGTCCATTTATGTGGTTTGACAATGAACAATGAAATTCTACTTTGACTTTGTTTGATCAGCCTATATTATTTATTAGTGTGTCATGAAGTCAGTATTAAGTTCAATGAAGGGAGAGGTTAGTATCCGATGTTTTTACACAGCTTCACATATTTTGTTAACCGTGTCATTGGTTAAAGAACTGCCTGAGCGCCTACTGTGACGTTTAATAATATTATGAAGGGTGGAAAGCAATTTCAAAAAATGTGTCTTACACTTCAGGCACAGAATGAAATGTGTCAACATCACATAAATTAATGATTTAGTGTTGTATATGTGCTTGAAACCAGCTGATCAGTGTCAGATGCTTTGAGTCATAGCTGACACATATTGTTGGCCATCCTCATTGACCTCACTTTAGCAGAGCGCTCAACAGATGCTGTGTGCAAGGAATAAGCATGCATTTTCATAGGCACCAGGTGCTGGCTGTCATCATGCATAATCAGCTTCAGACTGGTTTACAGCACAGTATGACAACAGTCTGGCATTGAAGTGCCACTGTGTGCCAACAAGAAGTATTAACGAAGAACAATTAGCACAGAGGGTTATTTTCACTTTTCTTACCCCCCAGTAGTTTGGACTGACAGTTGATGAACTCGGGTTTCCGTGCGGAGCTGTAGCGCTGGCAGGTGTGGTGGAGAATCTGAATGAAGGTGCACTTCTCTCCTGCTGATCCAGCGACCCACTGGTCGAAAGCATTTTCAAACATCAGGTCGAACTCTGGACAGTCCTTGGAGAGAATACCAGACGGGAAAAGATTTTTTATTTTTGTTGCCTGCTTTTCTTTCTTTCTTTTTTTTAAATGGAAATATGAAATAAGTGAATAGCAGACATAAAAGTTCCATACTTTGTTTGGGTCAATGCCGTTGACCTGCCGTAGCTGGTCAACTGTCCACTGGGATCTTTTCATGAAGGAAGTGGATCCTTGGAACTGCTTCACTTTAGTTATGGATACGTGGGACGGTTTCTTATTTGTAACTGTGGAAACAAAACAATAAAACACACCTGATAAGTTTTTTTTACAGCAGTTATTTAATATACCAATATGATGTAACTATAGCCATGTTTATCATATATCTAGAAAGTTAAGGTTTGGATAAATACACAGTTAAGGTCACAAGATGAACCAATATATATATAAAATATTCGAGCCAAGAATAAACATGGCTGAGACAAGGTGATATATTCACTCTTATCCAACAACAACAAAGACATTAAATATAAAGTTCTAAAACAAAGACCATAAACAGACACAGATTAATTCTGCTTTTCTACCCACTCTGTTAATTTGTGAGCATTAATCTTACATAAAGTACTCTGTGCAATGTGTGCAATGAGTTCCAGTGTCCCGGCTACATGAAGAACATTTTCCACACCGATGGTTTGGAGAACACAAACACTTGTTTAAATTGTTCCTGTGAAAGAATAAATTGCTCCGCATTTTCACACCTTGTTGGACACAACCCATTTCTCTTCTGCTGCAGTGCTGACTAAATCAAAGCAGGTAACAATAACGCACAAAGAGAAACATTGGACATAATGACAACACACCCAACAAAAACACTGCGCTTTCATTTGAACTTCATTAGGTACTGCAAAGTTTTATGATTTGATGCAATATCATACTTCGGTGGTTCCTAATATTTACATTATCCAGGTAAGAAAGGATCAGTCTGTTCCTGCTGATTCTTGGAGGAATGTTCTCATATTTTGAAGCTTTTCTAAAAGGCTGGTAACATAAGATACATTTTTATGTACATAACTATCAAGCTGAGGTGATGCCATGATACCAAATAATCCTTCTAACTTAATCTCCTGTTCAATGACATCATCTTGTCCTCAGTTTGGCCCACTTGCCCTTTGTTTAAACAAAGTGTGTGTGGTTGGATAGTGAAACCCTTTGTACCTCTACACAAATGTTGCTTTTTTAACCTCTGCAGTGGACCTCTAGATCCGCTCTCCCACATTGGCCATTGTGTCATCTCCTAAAGGGGGTCATCTTTGGGTCACTTTCACCCTTTCGTCTGTTTTCTTCTTGCTTTCCTGCAAGTTGCGATGTTATTGCACACTTCTGACTTATGTTCACGTTTGGTTTGGGAAAGATTTACCACGCCCATTTCTGGATAGAACTTTGAAAACAAAGGTGAGGCTGAGTGTTATATCAGGTGATATTTTCAGGATGTTATGTGTATCCATTTAGACAGCTGTAGTCAATACTCGAGGTCCAGCAGGGTTTAGACTCACACAATGCAGGCAGACATTGGCAGGCTGTAATTCTTTTCCAATCTTTTCTTTTAAACTTTTATTATCAAAGAGAACGCCACTACCATGTCGAGCAGATGAAGTGAATGATCGGATCTGTTTGGGGTCACAGAAGAGGTTAACAGAAGCTTGTTAAGCCAGAGAATTTCATAAAGAGGATGACAGCTTGATGTAATGAACAAATGTGTTGAAAACTAGGAGTTTAGAAACTCAGGTCATCCAATTCACAGCAGGAATAATTTGTTTCTGAGCTACAGTTGTTTGCAGATGATAGACTTTAGCAGTCGAACCATTATTTTCCTCTTACTGATAAAGGAGAAATGGGCTTTTATTGCTGTCCCTTGGTAAAATGATGATTGGTAGTGGAGAGATAAAAGAGTAGAAGAGTATGAATTCAGCTAGTAACTGTCTCTTAAAGATACAAACTTTTCCTCCATCAAATCCTTCCAGAAACACCCGATAATGTATGAAGCTGATACTTACGACTCTTTTCAGTATCAATTAAAAAAAAGCTTGGCCTTGAAAATGTCACATATTTGGAACAAATGTCTATTACAAGTTCTCAAGGACCCAAGATCTTCAACTTTTTTAAGGTGTTAATTTTTTGTATTAACTTTTAGCACAGGTCTATGTTGATAGTATGCGCTGCCTTTCATTCTAGCAGAATATGCCAAGCTGCACACAAACACTTACGCTGTGTCGTTAAATTTGCTGTAACTTAAAGCAGAAGGGAATGGAGATTTGAAAAAAACCTATTACAATACACTGTACAAAGCCATATGTTACTGATCTGTAAGTGTTGAGCCTGCAGCAGATTGTACAGCACAAACAGAAGAAAAGAAGTACCTATGACTGACTTCTCCATTAGGGTTAGGGTTTTGGGAGTAACTTTTACTGTATGCTCAGACGTAATCTGTTGGCACTGTTTGGCATTTTATCTTTTAGACATTTCCCTGAGATCTGACGTCTTAGAACATCCGTGAATAACGTGAAAGAAAAGCTGCTTTCTCAAGGCCGTGGAGCTTAGTCGTCAACGCATCAACGCAGAGGTCTTAATCAAACTGCCAGACGCCTTTGAGCCTCTCAAACATCTATTTCATATTCAGGAGAGTTGACTCCCACCTCTTTGGAGTTGCTCCCCTGCATATTGAAGTGTTACTGACAGTTAGAGGAGCAGGCTTTATTGAAACAGCAATCAAGGACATGCCTCTAAGAAATCATTTACTCAAGTGCTTCAACTGAAATGAAACCTCAAGTGGATTGAGTGCTACTCTGAGTGTGTTTAGAGAAGTAATTCAAAGAGGAAATAATGACAGAGGCATTGTTTGGGACTTTATTTATGAGGGGGAGAGAGAGAAGTTGAAGATTTGATGGATGTCAGTATAGAAATGTGAGTTTTGACAAGATTGTGGAATTCATTCTTGATTCAACAAACCTTTCTTTTATAGTCAAAACTAAAAGTTAGTCTGTTGCCTTGCATTAACCTGAACACCTGTGATATATTATTATAATAACTAAATGATATTAGTCTACCCAATGTTTGTACAGAAATAAAAGGATTCATAGGCAAAGTTTGCTTCTCATTTTGACCGTATTGTAAACCTTTTTTGAGCTAAACTGCCACCAAACTAGTCAACGACCTCCTACATGCCACTCCTCCAGAACCACTATGATATGAGAACTTCAATACTGATTAGCACAGCGCTTCCTTAGTCATGTACTTTAACTGAGTTTGAACAAATACGAAACTGCATATGACTTGCCTCCCTGACCGACTTCACGTTTACATAAGAATGAGCAAACACCACTGGGCTACATAATATCTAGGAACAAGGAGAGACACTGAAAGGCTGCTAAAGCCATTGTTTCCATTTGGGCTGTCAGAGGAAGGCCATGCTGGGGTTCCTTTCTCATGCTCTGATGGTGACATGCTCTCACTTCCTCCAGTGGATCAGTCCCTTGTTGTGTTTGGGTAAGTGCAAACGCTGCGGCAGAGGGAAGCTCATACTGTACACAGACTGCTAACATTGCATAGGAAACGTTCTCAGGATCACTATTCCCTCAAGGAAATATTATCATAGCTGTGGTTGTTAGGACGGAAATTTGAGCTCCGAATGGAAATGTAGTTAAAGCAACTATTAAGTAAATGATCATGTGAGAAGTGTGCAGTTGGTCGATTATAAGTGTATACAAACATTGGTGAAAATGCTGACTACAGCACTATTAAAATAAATCCAGTCCAGTACCACCAATGTCTGAACAAGTACAGAATAACTCTGGAGTTCATGGAAAATACTGGAGCTTGCCAAAGACACTATGAAAGCTAACAGAGTAAGGAGAAGGACCACCGACACGGGCATAACATTAATAACTCCCACTTCCTCATATAATACAACTTAATCCTCTTGTCAACATTGATGCTTCCCCAAAGTCTCCATCCACCAGCCAGAAACAAGGTAAGCATCAGCATATTGGGCCAGCCAAGAGGAGATATGAAAATCCCAAACCACAGAATAACAAGAGATCACATCAGATATGGAAGATGACGTGTAAACGTACAGTCAGAGAGGCACCGGGTTTCCTAGAATTCTTGCTGGTTTCAAGAGCCACCAACCAAGAGAAAGTGAAGTAATTCAATTCACAAAAGAGGTTAGATTCTCTGGCCGAGCCGTCAGTATGTCCCTCGGGCCCAAGCCAGGCTGGGTCAGGTTGGTCTTCAGGTCTTATCTAAAAGTTATTTTCTCTCTGTAAGAATTCACTCATTAACATCTTATTCATTCTTTCACACAGTCATTCAAACAACTTAAATTTTAATTATAAAAAAGACAACTTACTAAAATTAAATATATGGGTTAAAGTCTGGCCCATAAGTACAGTTAAAACAGAGAGAAGTAGCACAGGCTCAGGTCGGTTCGGGATGGATTTTTTGGGCTCGATCTATGCTCTAATTTACAGGTTAAACATGGAGAATTATATGAAAAGTACATGTACTTAGACATTTATAATACACAGCCCACACTTACAGACAAAGTGATCTGATATTTTGCTCTCTTTACAGATCATTTGATAACGTCTACTTATACCAATTGCTGTTAACCTTCTGAAGTAGCACAAACCCAGTGGTAAATCATTTCAATAACCGCTGTTACCTTTTATTTCGCCCCTAAACAGTTTGTTGCTTGTATTACAAAATTTAAATACAGTTCAGGATACCTGAGTAGTCAAGCTTACAAGATGAAAGTGTGTTTTTAATCATTTGATTCCCATCTGTCCGACTTCAAAGAAGCCGTCACAGCCTTGTTCTTAGCCAGGTGGGCTAAAGATCTCTTCACAAATCAGACCTCTTCCGTTAGCAGTCAATTGGCTCCATGCTCTGACAATAAGCAGACACGGTTGCCATGGCAGTCTCATTTGCAAGGCATCAACTACACTTGGGAAGAAGGGGCTTGCACCTGGCCGGGTTCATTCAGGGACAGCAAGCGAGGACGCGTCAGATACAATATTGACTCGTAGCTGGATCCCAGTAAACAGAAAGTCTAAGACATTCTGAAACTCCTCAGACAGAAAGAAATACTAATGAACAAAGTGTTTGGCGACAAAGAACTACAGTATGCACTGTTTGTTTGGCTTGGCTGAGGACCAGATATGACCTAAAGGGATAGATGATATGTGTGTGGAAAAACTAAATGAATGAATCCCCATGAATTATTATCAGT